GCGTTATGCGGGCCTCTCACTGTTGTGGCCTCTCCCATTTGCGGAGCACAGGCTCCGGACGCGCAGGCCCAGCGGCCATGGCTCACGGGCCCAGCCGCCCCGCGGCATGCGGGACCCTCCCGAAACGGGGCACGAACCCGCGTCTCCTGCATCGGCAGGCGGACTCCCAAGCACTGCGCCACCAGGGAAGCCCACCAGTATTTTTAAAGTGACTTCAAAAGGATGAAATACTGACCTCCAGAACAGTATTTATAATATCCTCACATGGCAAACATTAATAAACATGCATTTCAAATTTTTGAATGGATTAAGTAAAACTTACAATTTTGATTATATTTGGGGTTTGGGCTTGGAGATGGACTCTTCACTGAGTACCCACTAAACTCAAAAGGTTTTATTAACACAGCATCAAAACATACTGCCTGCTCCAGTCTCACAGCTCCTCAAACTACACAAGTCTAAAATGGAAGTCCTTCTCCCTTCCAGACTGAACTTTCCCTTATTCTGTTTCTCATCTAGCAGTCACTATTACACAATAAATTAAGAATAGAGATGTTACCTGGATTGTAGGTTACTGGAGGTTGCTGTGAAAAGGTCAGAGGACGAAGCCAAAACAATACTTATATGTCGTTGTCACACTGGCCACCAATTCCTGTTATGCTGTCTCAGAAATAACTTCTGAATCACTCCCTGTACTCACCCTCATTGCTTTAGTCCATTTATCTGAATTACTACTGAATTTGCCACCGCACTGGTCCCTTCTTAGAAGGTGTCTCTCCAGCCACCTCCTTTTTTTCTGTACCACACCATGTTTATTACCATACCCTTCATGAAGCTCTGAATTAGTATACTGATTACAGACTAAAGCAAGATCTCAAGAGAATTCTTTTAAGACTGTATACAAGCAAACATCAAACGGATTCTCCATTATCATCTTCCATTACTCCCTGCCTTCCACTTCCCAATGCCCTATGGTCTCATATGCTACCAGGAATTTGCAAATACTTTCCCTCCATTGAAGTCCTTGACACACAGGAAGCAATGAGAGAATATTAGTTACTATGGCTGTTCTATCATGAGTCATCTTAGATGTCACTTCTTCGGATAGCATTCTCGGACACCTTCCAGGTCAGTCTCAAAAACAATAATACAGTTATTATTAAATATAAAATTGCAGCTGTATCGTGGTGCTAATGATAGGAAGTATAAGAAGGCATCCAATAGAGAAAACATGTCTATACAAGGGATGACTGAAGATCATTTATCTTTCTAGACCATCAAAATATGCTAATTTGACTGCCCTCCAAAATGTACTATGAGTTCCTCAGACAGAAACTCTGTAATATTTTTGTATCCACAGTGCTCAGAACAAAAACTTGAACAGAAGTTTTCAATAACGGACTATTAAATGAATAACTGAATTTGGCTTGCAAGATACAGTATTCTCTTCGTCAAGGTTCTATGCTGCTCAGTGAAAATTAAATACAGCAAAGGCGCAAGAGAATGTATATATGTGCTGCTTTTTGAAAAGGGACAAAAAGTAGTATCTACTTGCTTGTACTGCCAAAAAAAACAAAACAAAACACTGGAGGGAGACACAATAAAACTTACCTGTGGGAGCCAGAAGGTCAAGGGAAAACAAACTGAGAACAGGGTAAAAGTGAGACTCATAAATGCACCTTTTTATATAGTTTTAAGTTTTGAACCACATGACTCTGTGACCTATTCAAACAATTTCAATCCAATCTTGATGGGGAATACACATCTAAATCCAGGAAAAATAAAACTGCAAGTCTATAAAGGGCTTATAAGGAGAGGAACATAGTTCTATGGAGGGCCAGAAATTGGGGAACCTGGCCAAGTGAGGGAAAGCTTCACTGAAGAAGTGATTGCTGAAGATGATGAAGAATGAAGGAGGGACCCAGAAGATAAGAGGGAAGAAAGGAAAGTCCTCCCTCACTAGGACTAATGATAATACTGTTATTCATTGCATTTGGCAGGCACTATTTTAACTACGTCTACTTCTCACAATAAACCTACCCAGGCAGATATTAACGATAAACTGAGGTGAGTTGAGTAACTTGCTCAGAGGCACACAGCTCACGGCTGGCACGGCAGGATTCAAATCAGGCAGCATGGGACTTCCCTGGTGGTGCAGTGGTTAAGAATCCGCCTGCCAAGGCAGGGAACACAGGTTCAAGTCCTGGTCCAGGAAGATCCCACATGCCACGGAGCAATGAAGCCCGTGCGCCACAACTACTGAGCCTGCGCTCTAGAGCCTGGAGCCACAACTACTGAGCCTGCATGCCTGGAGCCTGTGCCCCGCAACAAGAGAAGCCACCGCAATGAAAAGCTCGCACACCGCAACAAAGAGTAGCCCCCGATCGCCGCAACTAGAGAAAGCTCGGGCACAGCAACAAAGACCCAAATGCAGTCAAACATAAATAAATAAATTATTTTTTAAAAATCAGGCAGTATGACTTCATTGCCCACTCCTACTCACTGTTTGAGGTGAAGGGTGATCTTTATTGAAATCATAAGGATCCTGGGTGTGGAAGCAGGCTTAGGCATGCACTGGGCCTCCTTTACCTGGGGATGCCAAGTTCTGAAAGGTAAGCTCAGCACGTGGCCCTCAGAGCTCAGGGCAGCCCAGCCAGCCCGTCCCAGGCCCCAACTGATCAGTTCCAGGAGTGAGCCCGCCTGATCATGCCTTGGCTGGAAGTGGAGAGTCACAGGACAGGAAGTGGAGGGGAGCTGAGGGTCAGGTTGCTGGAGCCCTCATGACTGATTCTTTGCTGGAGACTCTCTGTCCTGAATCCATCCCATTATAATGTGAGGGTGGTGATGGGGACCGTAGCCCAGGATTTAGGACAAATATGTTCAAAATTAGGTGTGCATCAGGCCCTTGTTAAAAATGCAGAGTCCGGGACTCCAGCCCCAGAGGTTCTGATTTAGGAGGTGTGGGGTGTGACTCAGGAATTGCATTAAGTTTCTCAGAGAATCTGAGGCAGGAAGTTTGTCATAGACAATTATTACGAACAGTCCTGGAATGTTCTCTGGTTACAAATATTCTGAAGGGTGATTCCTCTCAGTACTTCGGTTTTGGCTCAAATTATATCCAGAAAAGCCTTTCCTTGGGGAGGGAGAAATCTCCCTCATTACTACCTACAGATTACTATAAATTACTATCTATTATTAGACTTCATTTCTCCTCATAGGATTTATCACTTCCTGACATTTTGTAATCTCACCATCTCTCTCCTTTACTAGATTATATGGTCCACCATAAAAGCTGTTCCTTTGCCTGTTTTGCTCACTGTGTAAAACAGTGAGTTAGCACAGTGATGGTGCTTTAAAATGTTTCTGGAGGAGTAAATTACCCAGACCCAGGATTTTGGTTGAATTCTGAGTGGGCCACAGCACGTCAAATTTCCATGTCTTTTATGAGTAGGACTGTTTGTAATTGGGATCTTATATCCTCATGGGATCATGGGAAAGAACTCTGGATAAAGGAGAAAGCAAAGACCCCACTTTGAGGACAGCGGAAAGGAATGACGGAGATAGAAGACACCTGTCTCAATTCAGCAGGTCACAGAGGAGCCAGGATCTTTAAATGGCAACTCTTCACAGGTGTTAGGCCTGTGGACAAATCTCAGGATTCATTTCCAAGACATTCCTAGAAGATCTCACCTCCTCCCACTCCCTATACACTCCACCATTCTTAAAGACTAAGGCTCTCATTTTGCATTTGTTCTATTTATTCTAGGAATCATTTTCCTTTTCTGCTTTGTCCCTTTATAATCAGTTAAGTCTCTCTAACCTCAAACAGTTTGGGGTGTCAATTTTGGTCTTTAGAACTGTCTTTCCCTCGAGTGACAGAATACATTTTGATTAGCCCGTTAGTTTATTCATTCACTTTCCAAATCTAGAGCTGATAAGAATTATTTTTCCCCCCTCTGTGTTGGGAAACTGAAAATCATGGAAACCAGCACTCTCCAATATAACTTTCTGGTACAATGGAAATGACGGTAGAGCGTCTTCCCATTGTCTCACCATTTTGCTGTCTGTGCTGTCCAATTCTATTGCCACGAGTCACATGACTGTTGAGCACTTGAAATGTGACTAGTGTAACTGAAGAACTGATTTTTCATCTTATTGGTTTTCAATTTTTTTAAACATTAAAATTTAAAGAAAGCCACTAAAGTTAAGGAATTTATAATTTCCTCGTGGAGATAACAAATAGGCATTAAAAAAAAAAAAACTTATTTGGGGAATTCCATGAAGATCCAGTGGTTAGGACTCCACACTTTCACTGCTGAGGGCCCTGGTTCAATCCCTGTTCAGGGAACTAAGATCCCATAAGCCGTGTGATGTGGCCAAATAAATACATAAATAAAAATAAAAAATAACTTACTTGAAACAACGAGGTCCTACTGTATAGCACAGGGGACTATACTCATTATTCTGTGATAAACCATAATGAAAAAAATATGAAAAAGAATATATGTACATACATATAACTGAGTCATTTTGCTGTACAGCAAAAATTAACATTGTACATCAACTATACTTCAATAAATTTTTTTAAAACTTATTTGTGTTCTATGGTGCTTAAATACCATTATTAACTCCTTCCCCAATCCCCCAAATGATATGCTCCTTCAACAATAAATTGTCATATTCCCTTGAGCCAATTACTCCAGGTCCATTTCACTTACTATGGATACTTACGTCCTCTCACTAAATTAGCTTGAGTGTATAGATGCCACTTAAAGATAATCCGACTACCTCAATGGTCTCTCCAGGGGACCATGAGCTTTCTCTATTCTGATCACCACAATATCCTCAGCTTTTGGAACAGAACCATATACCAAGGACGTATTTGACAAATACTCTGTGAAAGACCAAACTGACTCAGTCTAAGGCTGTTGTTTCATTAGTCCCTCTGCATAATATAAACTTCTGAAAGTTTAAGGAAGACATCCCAGTTTCAGATTCATTGTTCACCTTGGCCTGGGGAAACTGAATTGATATATACACGCCCCATATCCCACCAATCCAATATTAGCCCTCCTGTGATTTTTCCTCCATAGCAACGTTCCAGAAACAAATTGTGTGTTTAAAAAATCCACCTCCTTATTTCCTCCACTTAGTTGAACTCAGGCTTCGTTCATTTATTTAACTGACAAAACAGAGCAACTGACGTTTATGTGTTTGGGTTAACATCAGATTATGCCTCTGTATCAAGGCATATATGTAATTGGATGAGTAGGTCATGTGTTCCCAGTCTCAGCATTTATACAGTTTCTCTCAGTGTATACTTTTCAGCCAACATATGAACTAGAAACTTTCACTCAACCCTTTTCCTCAGAGAATGTCTTAATTTTTTCCCTACTGGTTTTCTGTGACATAAAATAAAATATAATTGACCACTGAAGGCACAACCACATTCACTGCATTCATAAGGGTTCTCTCCTGTGCCAACCCTCTGCTTTCTCCTGCGGGTGCACATCTGGCCACAGGCTGTCCCACTATGACTACATTCCTGTTTGCTAGGAGCCCACTGATGTTGACTGATGTCTGAGGGACCACAGAAGGTACCTGCATTGTCACTGTATTCAGGTTTTTCTCTTGGAGGACAACACTGCTCTGTGAGGACCTGTGACCCTCTAAGGGAGGATTTTCCACCTTGACTGAGTGAGTTTTCTGATGTTTATTGAGGACTGACTTCCCTCTGAATGATTTCCCACATTCACTACATCTATAGGGTTTCTCCCCTGTATGGATTCTCTGATGGATAACGAGCTGCGGCTTCTCAATAAAGCCTTTCCCACAATCGCTGCATTCAAAGGGTTTCTCTCCTGTGTGAGTCCTTTGGTGTTTAATGAGACCTGTCTTCTGGGAAAGGGTTTTTCCACATTCCCCGCACACAAAGGGAGTCGTTCCTGTGTGAAATCTCTGGTGTGCTGTGAGGCACGTCTTTTGGCTGAAGCCTTTTCCACATTCATTGCATATATAAGGTTTCTCGCCTGTGTGAATCCGTTGATGCACCATAAGATTTCCCTTCTGGATGAAGCCCTTTCCGCATTCGCTGCATATAAATGGTTTCTCCCCGGTATGGGTTTTCTGATGGACACTGAGCCCTGATTTCTTGAGGAAAGCTTTACCACATTCAGTACATTCATAAGGTTTCTCTCCTGTATGCGTTCTCTGATGTTCAGTGAGCTTGAACTTTCTGAAGAAGGCTTTCCCACATAGATTACATCGATGGGGCTTCTCTCCTGTATGAAGATTCTGGTGATCAGTGAGCCAAGATTTTTTGATGAAAGCTTTCCCACATTCACCACATACATGAGATTTCTTTATTTTTTGAGTTTTCTGATGCTTGATGAATTGGGACTTAGTGTTGATGAGTTTTTGGCTTTTGGGGAATTTAATTTCAGTATGAAATTGTTCATTGTCAGCATGGAGACAGGATCTGACTTCTCCAGTAAACTCAGCAGGGCTCTTTATTTCATAGCTCCTGCTCTCGGAAAGTAAGGTTAAATTTGATTTCATACTTTTTCCATGTAAGTCAAACATACCATGATTTTGCCTGAACAGAAAATGAGTTCTGCTCCGATGAACAGAATATTCCAGTGGGTTCTGTTCGTGCCATTGTTCTAGTCTCTTCTCCATGCTCTCATTTTGTAAGTGCTCCAGCAGGTGATTATCAACTTTCCAGACTTCTAGGAAAGAGAAGAAGAATGAATTCCTCCATCTTTCAGATTTGGAATAAAGGTATTCTAAAAAATACTTTGATGTGAGGTGTCTTTTTAGTGATGACCCTATGGTATGAATGTTAATAAAACTCCATGTTTAATGTTCTTTATACATTGGGAAAAAACAGTTATAATGAATAAATACAGATTTGGTTACTTTCTAAATACTATAAAATACGAGCAATTTCCTGTGAGCAGGAGACCACAGGTTGTAGGGCCACCTCATCCAAACTGCGGAGGGATGGACTCATTCATTCCACAGATCCTTACTGATCACCTCTGTGTACCAGGAATGGTGCTAGTGTTGGGGATTCGCAAACATACTCCTCGTGTTCAAGGAGCCTATACTGTAGGTGGGTAAAACCACTTTACAAGGCAGAGATAGACACAAGGAAAACAGCTGCAGGTTGGAAAACATGGCGGGAAGGAATGATGGAGAGGAAGAGAGGTGGAGGAAACCAGGGCTCATTCTGGAGGAAGACAGGCCTCCCCATGGATCCATTGTTCTGGTCTGCATGAGGGGAATGAAGAATATGACACAGCAAAAAAAGAAAGAAAGAAAAAACTAGAAGACAGAAAGAAAAAAAAGAAAAGAAAATGACACAGTAGAGAACTCCAAGCACATTTAACTTACAATGTGCACCTCAGAGAGATCCATTATGCAACTTAATTCCATCACGGCACTTTTCACCCCCTAGACATATTATTTATTTTACATTTTGATTAAATTGATGTCTCGTCCTCTTAGAATGAAAGCTCTTGGTCTATTTGTTTTTTCAACTGCTGTTACCTTCCAGCTTACACTAGACTATCAAAAAAATAATTCATAGAGGAATGAATCAAGGAAGCAACCACATGTATGGAACAGATTGGGAGGTTTAGGAAAGAAGATGGAAATCTCTGTGTGAACAAGATGATATGTCATGGTGATCACTAAAAGAAGAATTTTTATGTCATGTGACAGGTAACATGGTTACATGGGACTTCTTTTTTTGGCTGTGCCACATGGCACATGGGATCTTAGCTCCCCGAACAGGGATTGAACCCACATGCCCTGCACTGGAAGCGTGGAGTCTTAACCATTGGCCTGCCAGGGAAGTTCCTACCTGGGACTTAATGTTATCAGAAGATGAGGGGAAAGAAATGAAAGCTTTAAGGAAGTGAATACAAGGGTAAGGTCTACAATGAATGAGAATAAAGTTCAAAATCAATAAATAAACAAAGGAATTAATTCGAAGTAGGCAAGAGTTATGGTCTGGTTGAGGCTGGAACTGAGAATGTAGGATGTTAAAATAACTTTCCTAGTTAAAAATTCATCATGAACAGCAGACCCCTTAACAGAAAAGAGCTCTGCAGGTGGGGGACATTTGAGGTAATGCCTGAATGGCCAGGATGGAGGATGCACAGGAGTAAGGCAAAACCTAAACTTCTAGGGTTTCCTGGGAGGGAAGGTGATCTTAGGTCCTTGCAGTTACTGGGAACTCAGGAGAGAGCTGTCATCGAGATGAGTTATATAGAAGCCAAGTCTGTGGTGGAGCACACTGGGGAGAGATCAATTTGGGAGTCTTCTCCAGTGACCCTAAGGAGCTTAGCTTATTGCGATGAAGAAAACTATGAAGGTTAGAAGATCATTTGAGAAAATGGAAAACAAAACCTTTGGAGAACCTCAGAGTGGGAATAAGGCACAGTGACGACCAGTCTACTTTGGGGCCCGGCATCCAAGATGGGGTGGATGTGACAAAGGAAATCAACATTACCAGTGGAGAAGAAAGGTGCAGTAGTCAGAAGACAGTGAGGAATTCAAAGTTTTCTCTTTGGAGAGAGGCCTTGGAAGGTGGAATTTCATAGAAAAGGAGGTGGAAGTGTATGAAGAAGAAGGAAAAGATATGAGAATCCTGGAGAAAAGAAAACGATGCAAACAAAAATCAAGATGGGGGTAAAATAAAGAAGAAACAGATCCCGGAAAAGACAAGAGTCTTCCCTCAGAAGGGATAAATTTTTCTCTAAACTCCTACAAAGAAAAAGGGGTCTGACATCGGGAGAGATGCACGGAGGCACTGCTTACCCAGCGTCCAACTCCCTCACAACTGTGACTCTTCTCTGACCAACTACAGTGTGATTTTCACGCCTGTCATCTTGCTGGTCTCTCACTCACCTGAATGGGTTTGACAGTGGATTTCATCTTCCATCATCCATGGTTCTCCTTGATCCAACTTGGAGAGTATGTCTGGTTTGCTGGCTTGAAAACCTATTCGTGTGAAATGACAGCAGATTTAGACCCACTGAACTGGGGTTGGGATCTGTGAAGACAGCAGAGTGTTACATCTGAGGACAAAACAATGTTACAACCTACAAGGTAAAGGCTTTTCTCTCAGGAGAAGGGAGAATATACCCACGTATCTGGGTAAGGGGCTAAGAATCTATTGCTTCAGAGCATCACAGGCACTCCAGAGCTTTCAGAAGCTGAGAAAGGAAAGGCCACTGATTGGAGACCCTCTAAGGGACCCAGGGGAGACATCCTCACCTACAGATAGCAGGTTGCTATAGTTCTCCAGCATCACGTCCCGGTACAGGTCCTTCTGAGGAGGGGCCAGGAACTGCCACTCCTCCCACGTGAAGTCCACGGCCACATCGTCAAATGTCAGGGTTTCCTGTAATAACAGTGGTGTTTAATGAAGTGATGCCCTTTTGATGATATAGAAGAAATGTTAAAGTTTTTCTGCTCATTTCCACTTTATAGGCTGCATCAAGATATCTAGCAGGGTTTTTATTTTAATAAACCATTGAAGAAGCAAATGTCTAATAAGATATTCTCTAATTGTATAGTCAGCCACCCATCCGTTTATCCAATTAGAAGTTTCTATAATGTGTAGAAGTTAAATCTTCTTGTTAAGCTAGAAACACCACATTCTCATATATATATATATGAGAAAAGAAAGGGAAAAGAAAACTACGTAAACAAAAATCAAGATGGGGGTAAAATAAAGAAGAAACAGATCCCAGAAAAGAAAAGAGTCTTCCCTAAGAAAGGATATATCTTTCTCTAAACTCCTACAAAGAAAAAGAGGTCTGACATATATATATATGAATGACAGACAAAAGATACACATATTTATACTTTACAGAATAATGCAAGTGATTTTTTACAGGCCTCTACAAATCCATCAGGGAACAAAGGAAAGAATAAAACAGAACAAAAGTCACCTGGGCCTCGATCATTTTCTTCTGTTTTCTGAGAACAGCTGGCAACAGGGAGGTTCTGTCACTGTGTCTTCTGGATCTGCTCTAAATTCTGTTCTGTCTTCAATCAGGTGTGTCCCAAGAAATGCTGACACCAAATCCTGTAACTTCTTCCTCCTTCTTCTGATTCTTTTGCTCCTGGAGAGTCAGGACCTGTGGGTTGAGGAGAAAATTCAAGCTGAGGGTACATTTCCTCTGGGCCCAGATGCTAACGCTGCTCCTGGGAGCTCACCTTAACCCAATGCCCACAGCATTGCTGAGTGTCCCCAGAAGATTGTTGCCCCAGAAGACTTTATTCCTGTGCCCAAAAAGCCTAAGCTTCTGACAGTGGTGGGGTATTCCTTTATTCCATGAAGTTGAAGTGGGGTGACTGTCAAAGGAGATGAGGGAAACAAGATCCATCCCAGCAGCAGCCCTCAGGAGCAGGAGACTCTCAGGCAGGTCAATTATACAAAAGGGACCGTATGGGAGGAGAGGCGCTGGGCACTGCTTTCCTTCAAACCGTGTGCACTCAGGAACCTCCTCAAGCGTTTTTATACACCCTGTGAGTACACACACTTCAGTTTGAAAACCAATGTACTGGGCAAACCAGAAGCAATGTCTTGTAAGCAATAATGGTAATACCTTAGGAGGTTTTAAATACATAAAAAACTAAAATACAAAATAATAGTACATAAATTAGAAGGTGGTAAATGAAGTTGAGGTGCTCTAAGACGACTGTATTGTCAGAGGAAAGTGCAGAAGTACTAATTAACGTAAGAATTTGACAAAGAATAATTACATGTGATGTGTAATCTCTAGTGTCATAATGAACACTAATAATTTTCTTAAAGTACATAATTTGCAGTGCTACCAGAAGAGGGAAATGTAATAACAAGAAACTCATCCAGAAGAAGGTATGATTCTGACACCAATTTGAATATGTGTGTTTTTTGAACACACCACCAAGCAATGCTACAACAATGGCTGGGTGTCCTACAGTTCAACTCAATTCGGTCGCTATGTACCTGGAGATAATATCATATCCCATCGGTTGAAGGCTCAGTCCTATGAGACTGGCTTCTACCTCCTACTTCATGTGCAAACACAAGTCCAGGTTGTCACGTGTACTTCTAAGCAACCGGCCACAGATGGCAGGGCCCAATGACCCCCCTCCTTGGGTTGATTAATTTGCTAGAGCAGGGAATTCCCTGGTGGTCCAGTGGTTAGGACTCCGTGCTTCCACTGCAGGGGGCATGGATTTGATCCCTAGTCGGGGAACTAAGATCGCACATGCCGCGCGGCATGACCTAAAAAACAAACAAAAAAAAACGAAACAGAAAAACCAAAAATTTTCCAGAAAGGTTCACAGAACTCAGAGAAACATTTTAGTTATTATATTTACTTATTATAAAAGGATGTAACTCAGGACCAGCCAGATGGAAGAGATGCCTAGGGCAGGATATGTGTGTAAGGGCAAGGAGTGACCCCTATAGGAGTGCCACTCTCCCTGCATCTCCACATGTTCACCAAGCCAGAAGCAATTTCACTCTGAGAATACGCCTAAGAAATACATCCCTCCAAAACTATGGGCATATTTGAACCAGCAGACACGCTCAGTAATTTCCATAGCACCATTACTCATAATAAACCAAAATGCAAACAACACAAGTTTAATAAATACTAGGAAAAAACAAATATTCAAACAATGGAATGCTGTGGAAAAACTACAGTCTTTGCACAGCTTTCAAGCTAAGAATGACTTTTTTGTTTTTAAAGGACTGTAAAACAAAAATAAAGAGGTATATGTGAGAGAACTGGGGCTTACAAATCCTAAAATATTTACTGTGTGGATATTTATATAATATATTTGTCTGACCCTTGTTACAGAGGGAAAAAAAAAGTACACCTATGTGCAAAAACGTGAATAATTCTCAGAAATACTGAGCCTGACATAAAAAATGCATGATGTGGAGAAAACTCTAATTTGAAAAGATACATGCACCCCAATGTTCATAGCTGCACTATTTACAATAGCCAAGACGTGGATGCAACCCAAGCGTCCATCAGTAGATGAATGGAGGGCTTCCCTGGTGGCGCAGTGGTTGAGAGTCCGCCTGCCGATGCAGGGGACACGGGTTCGTGCCCCAGTCCGGGAAGATCCCACATGCTGTGGAGCGGCTAGGCCCGTGAGCCATGGCTGCTGAGCCTGCACGTCCAGAGCCTGTGCTCTGCAATGGGAGAGGCCACAACAGTGAGAGGCCCACGTACCTCAAAAAAAAGAAAAAGATGAATGGATAAAGAAGATGTGGTATGTATACATACAATGGAATATTGCTCAGCCATAAAAAAGAAGGAAATAACGCTATCTGCAGCAACATGGATGGACTTAGAGATTATCATATTAAGTGAAGTAAGTCAGAAAAAGACAACTATCATATGATATCACTTATATGTGGAATCTAAAAAACTGATATAAATGAACTTATTTACAAAACAGAAATAGACTCACAGATATAGAAAACAAACTTATGGTTACCAGAGGGGATGGGGGTGGGTAGATAAATTAGAAGTTTGGGATGAACATGTACACACTACTGTGTATAAGAGAGACAAACAATAAGGACCTACTGCATAGCACAGAGAATTATACTCAATGTCTTATAACCTATAATGGAAAAGAATCTGAAAAAGATTATATATCTGTATAACTGAATCACTTTGCTGTACACCTGAAGCTAACACACACTGTAAATCAACTACACTTCAGTTTTGTTGGTTTTTTGTTTTTCTCTCTCTCTCTTTTTTTTTTGTTTTTGCGGTACGCGGGCCTCTCACTGTTGTGGCCTCTCCCGTTGCGGAGCACAGGCTCTGGACGCGCAGGCTCAGCGGCCATGGCTCACGGGCCCAGCCGCTCCGCGGCATGTGGGATCTTCCTGGACCGGGGCACGAACCCGTGTCCCCTGCATCGGCAGCCGGACTCTCAACCACTGCACCACCAGGGAAGCCTTACACTTCAATCTTTAAAAATGGTTTTAAAAATGCATGATGTATAATTACATTGAAACACAGTTGAAAATACGCAAAACTAAATAAACCATAATGATGAGCAATGAATGATTATGTTATAACACCATAAAGAAAAGCCTGAAAGTGCTTGCTAATAGAGAAGATGGTATTCACCTTCGGGTGTGAGGATGTAATATAATTGGGAAGAGGTTCACAGAACACCACTGGGGTGCTGGCAATGCTCTGTTTTCGATGTAGGTAATGTCTGTATGTATGTATATATTCCTCTTTTTTTTTTTTTTTTTTTTTTTTTGCACATGCTGTGTGGCATGTGAGATCTTAGTTCCATGACCAGGGATTGAACCTTCACCCCTTGCAGTGGAAGTGCAGAGTCTTAACCACTGGACCGCCAGGAAAGTCCCTATATGTATATATTCCTTTTATACTGACTCACTTGTAGAGCTTTTAATTTAACAAAGAAATGGAAGAGCTCAAAAATACTAAAAGTCCGTTGTTTGAAAAGACCAATAATATATAAATATTTAGAGTCAAAACAGAAAGTGCAAATAAAGGACAGAAGGAATTAATGGGAGGGACTTCCATGGTGGTCCAGTGGTTAAGACTCTGCACTTCCACTGCAGGGGGCACGGGTTTGATCCCTGGTCGGGGAACTAGGATCCCACATGCTACACGTGGGCAAAAAAAAAAGAAAGAAAAGAAAAAGAAAATGGAATTAATGGGAGTTATGACTCAGATAAAATACAGATTTTTTTTTTGCCTGAAAGAATACTATGAATACCTTCATGTCATTAAATTTGAAATACTAGATTTACCCTCTTGAAAACATGTTGACTTCAGACAATACAGCAAGTGAATTTATAAGTAAGCAACAAGACAAAAATGTCCATTACCACCCCACTTTTCAATTTTGTATTGCAGAGTTGAGCCAATGCATTGAAATAAGAAAAAAGTAACATTAGAAAATAGGGCAGAAAATTTTCATCAGTATCATTATCAACACGAAGAAAGAGATTCAAGGCATTACTTATTTAAAAGAGAAAATGCTCCCCCAGAAACCCCAAAGCAGATTTTTACATATACAGTTGGCTAGAAATGCCCCATATACCTAAGCTCATTTCTTAGTACTAATTCAATCACTAGCAATGGGAACTCGAACCACATGACTGACTAAGACCAACCGGGACTTACTAATAAACTGGGATATAGGTCACCATGCCATAGGAATGTATAATTAAACAAAATGGAGATTCTGTTAGCAAAGAACCAAGTGTTCATGTATGTCAGGGAAGCAAGTAACGGTGCCGTTACAATATATCAATATTAGAGGGTGAGTGCAGGTGTTGGCAAACATTTTCTGCAAAGAGAACAGACACAGATTTTCAAATTTGCAGGCCAAAATGTCTCTGTCACAACTATATTCTGCCTTTGCTGTGCGAAAGCATCAGAGACGATACAAAACAGATTGAAATTGCTGGTTTAGTCTCTCAGTCTGTAATCAACTCCTTGATTAAAAGCTAAAAGCCCAGGATAAACAACAAGGCCCTACTGTATAGCACAGGGATGTTCAATATCCTGTGATAAATCATAATGGAAAAGGATACGAAAAGGAATGTACATATATGTATAACTGAATCACTTTGCTGTACAGTAGAAATTAACACAACATTGTAAATCAACTATACTTCAATAAAATGTATTAAAAAAGAAAAAACCCACACACAAAAAAGCTGGAAACCAGATGGTTTCGAACTACTGCCCTGGGCTGTACCGTCTTCCGTCCCAGCAGCCGAAGTTGGAACCTCAACCCAAAAACTACAGCCAGGGGTCCTCGGCGTCCAAAGCCTCAGCCCTCACAGCCTCTCTGTACCACAGACACTGACTACACACTTCCTTATTAATCCGAAACCTGGGCCAGACACCCTCATATGATGACCATCCAGCCAGGCCCCAACACCACTGAGCCCCAAATTAAATCCCCAGCCTGAACCCGACACTGCGATCATCGTCAATGCCACTCGAAAGCCCTGCAAGCGGAGTGATCTGCAGAACCGCAAGCCCTGACAGCTGGAAGAGCAATGATCTCTATAGAATCTAATCCTACTGACTCCCAGGACACTCCCCAACATAAACCATAGACAAAACCCCCGTCCGGTTCCCTTCAAATACCTCAAAGCAGGTACTCTCCTGGCTCGCGTTAAATACATCCACCTCCGCACTTCTACCCTCCCCCTCTGCCATCCAGCAAAAATCTCATGGGTCCAGATTGCACCAAGTCCACGCGTCACCCTTGGGCGAAACAAAACCACCACTGTGAGAAAAAAAAAAAAAAAAAAAAAAAAAAAAAAAAAAAAATCCAGGGACAGAACCATACACTAACCTGATTTCCCCAACCTACAAGGAGCCTAAACGTCGTACTTCTGTGAACTGCTTTGACGTCTAGACCTGTCCGGCTCCGTCTACGGCAGCCGAAGTGGATATGCGCTGTGTGAGGAAACGAGGACGACCGGATTTCCGGGATTTCCTAGAGAGGCAATATGTCCGCGCCCAGCTCTCCGCGGCCCCAGGGGGAGGCCATGTTGGGACACCTGACGTACAGAAAGCCAAGGGGCGGGTTTGGGTACCAGGAGCCAGGGTTGGCCGGGAAGGTGAAAAGCCAGTGAAATTATCTAATTTCCTGGTACTTCGACTCCGGCAGAAAATAGGTAAATTTTCAGTCTCAAGCTTCGCGAGGCAAAAATGATGCAGGCTAAGTTGCTTTCAGCAGGCTAGGCAGACAAGTAATACGGCCGTGGCGTGTATTATCTACTTTGTATTAAAAAAAAAAAAAGTTTCCAAACGGACAAGTATGAGTTGTTGGCATGGCAGTGGAGAACGCACTACTAGAAGGGGAAAAGATAATAACCTCCGGTAAACGGACGCCACGGAAAGCTTCTGACCGGAAAATAATTTGTAGAAAGCTGTTTTTAAGAACAGAAAAAGAGCTTCCCTGGTGGCGCAGTGGTTGAGAGTCCGCCTGCCGATGAAGGGGACACGGGTTCGTGCCCCGGTCCGGGAAGACCCTACATGCCGCGGAGCGGCTGGGCCCGTGAGCCATGGCCGCTGAGCCTGCGCGTCCGGAGCCTGTGCTCCGCAACTGGAGAGGCCACAACAGTGAGAGGCCCACATACCGCAAACAAAACAAAACAAAACAAAACAGAAAAAGATTCCCAGAAGCTGGTACAGTACGGGGCTGGCTAGTAACGAGAGAAAAGAGCGGCTGGGGCTAATCTAAGTTGTGATGGGCGGCGGCGGCGGCGGCGGCCACTTAGGAAAAGGCCACTAGCAGTGAGGCCATTCAAGGTCTGGAGTCGCTGGGAAAAGCACAACCTGCGGGTGGTGATGAGGACAGTAATCCAAGACTTAGGGCAAAGAATGTCAAAATTAGGTGTGCATAAGGCCATTTTAAAAAATGCAGTCCTGGATTCCAGCCTTATTAGGAGGTCGGGGATTTGGCTGGGAAAGAATTTGAGGCAGGAAGCCTGTCATATACAATCATTAGAAACAGTCCTGGAATGTTCTCTGGTTACCAATATTATGATGGGTGACTCCCCTCAGTACTTCAGTCTTGGCTCAAATTATATCCAGAAAAGCTTGGGGGGAGGGCCTCCCCCATTATTACCAATACATTACTATAAATTACCATTACTAGGCTCTATTTTTCTTCATAGGACTTATCACTTGCTGACATATAATCCATTGACTCCCTCATTATATTGTAAGGTCCATAAAGGCTGTTCTCTTGCCTCTGTTGTTCATTGATGTATCTTCAGTGTGGAATACAGCATCTCACACAGTGTTGGTGCTTTAAAATACATCTGAAGGAGGGAATTACCCAATAATCCAGCGTTTCAGATTGATTTCTGAGACGGCCACAACATGGCAAATTTCCATTTCTTTTCCTATTAACAAGACCCAACTATTTATAACTTGAATAGTTAGGATAACTACAGGATAGTTAGGAAATTAAGGAAAAGTACTCTGGCTAGTGAGAGGCCAAGAGCCCCACTCCCAGAAGAGGAAGAAAGAATAATGAAAACACATCTCAATCCAGCAGGTAACAGTGCAGCTGGAATTTTTTTAATGGTGGCAGCTCTCAAGAGTGATAGTCCTGTGGACAAAGGTTCTTCTCCACAACATCCTTTAAGAATGTCACCTCCCGGTCTTCCCTGGTGGCACAGTAGTTGAGAGTCCGCCTGCCGATGCCGGGGACGCGGGTTCGTGCCTGGTCCGGGAAGATCCCACATGCCACGGAGCGGCTAGGCCCGTGAGCCACGGCCGCTGAGCCTGCGCGTCCGGAGCCTGTGCTCCGCAACGGGAGAGGCCACAACAGTGAGAGGCCCGCGTACCGCAAAAAAAAAAAAAAAAAAAAAAAGTCACCTCCCATCTCCTATTTTCTCCTCCATTCTTAGAGACTAAGATTCCTATCCTTTGTATTCTATGTATTCTGAGGATCCTTTTCCCTATTTTGCTTTGCCCAGTTTATATTGTTATTGGGTCTCTAATCACATACAATTTGGGGAAGACAGCTGTGTTCTTTAGGACTGCCTTCCAATGGCTCATTCCCTTCAATGACAGAACACTCTGATTAGTCCACTAGCTCATTCATTCACTTTCCAAATCAATAGATAATTGGTTTTTATTTTTCTGTGCTGGGAAATATAAAATCATGTAAACCAGGGCTCTCCAGTTAACTTTCTAGGATGATGGAAATGATGACAGATTTCTCTCAGTATATACTTTTCGGCCACATAGTCAGCTACAAAGTTTTGCTCATTGTCTGTGCTGTCCAATGTGGTACCCACTAGTCACATTGTGACCACCTGAAATGTGGTTTAGTGCAACCGAGGAACAGACTGTTGTTAAAACTTTAACATTTAAAAAGCAAAATCAAGGGATTTTTAATCTACTGGGGGGATAAGACTTGGGCATTAAAAAAATAACTTGTATCCTGAAGTGCTTAAAGTCCGTTAAGAGTAGCCCTTGCCGTCCCTCAAAATAATATACAACTTAAACAAGAAATTATCATAACCCCTTGAACCAATACTCCATATCTGCTAAGGACTGAATGTTTATGCCTCCCAAAATTCATATTTGGAGGCCTAATCCAAAATATGATGGTATTCAAAGGGGAAATGTGGGGGGGGGGGAGGGATAAATCAGGAGCTTGGGATGAACATACACACACTACTATAAATAAGATAGATAACCAACAAGGACCTATTGTATAGCACAGGGAACTCTACTCAATATTCTGTGACAACCTATAGGAGAAAAGAATCTAAAAAAGAATGAATATATGTATATGTATAACTGACTCATTTTGCTGTACACCTGAAACTAACACAGCATTGTAAATCAACTATACTCCAATAAAATTAAAATATTAAAAACAAAAACCAAAATATAATGGTATTAAGAAGTGGGGCCTTTGAGAGGTGACTGGTTCAAGAGGGTGGAGCCCTCATGACTGGATTAGTGCCTTTACAAAAGACATCCCAGACAGCTCCTTTGCCCTTTCACCTATGTGAGGATGCAGTGCGATGACTGTCTTCTATGAACCAGGAACCCTCATTAGATACCGAATCTGCTGGCACCTTAATCTGGGACTTTGTAGCTTCCAGAACTGTGAGAAATAAATTTGTTTTTATAAGCTACCCAGGCTATGGTATTCTCTTATAGTAACCAGAAGGGACTAAGAAAATGTCTATTTCACCTTGTGTACCTATTTACATCCTCTTACTAGATTAGCTGGCGTGTAAAGGTACCACTTAAAGATAATCCAGTTACCTCAAAGCTCTCTCCAGGAGACCATGGGCTTTTTCTGGTTTGGCCACCACTGTATCCTCAGCTCCTAGAACAGGACCCAGTAAAAAGGAAGTATTCGACAAATACTCAGTAAATGAACAAAATGACTCAATCTGAGACTCAATCAAACTGGCTCAATCGATTGCACAATGTAAATTTCTCAGAGTTTAAGATAGACATCCCAGTTTTCAATTAATGCTTCACCTTGGCCTTCCAGAAACTGAATTGATATATACACGCCTAGTATCCCACCAATCCAATATTAGCCCTGTTATGGTTTTTGGTTTATAGCAACCTTCCACATACAAATTATATGTTTAAAAACTTCAACTATTTTCTCCACTTAGTTGAACTCAGCCTTCCTGCATTCGTTTGACTGACACAACAGAGCAATTGATGTGTATGTTTGGGTTAACGTCAGATTATGTCTCTGTATCAATGCATGTATCTAACTGGATGAGTACATCATGCGTTCCCAGTCTCAGCATTTATACAATTTCTCTCAGTATATACTTTTTCAGCCACCATATAAGCTAAAATTTTTTGCTCAATAATTTATATCTTTTTCACATAGTATGTCTGAGTTTTTTTTCCTACTGGTTTTCTGTGACATAAAATAAGATGTAATTGACCACTGAAGGCACAACTACATTCAATGCATTCATAAGGGTTCTCTCCTGTGCAAAACCTCCGTTATCTCCTGTGGGTGCACATCTGGCCACAGGTTGCCCCACTATGACTACATTCCTATTTGCTAGGAGTTCACTTATGTTTACTGATGTCTGAGGGGCCACTGAAGGCACCTGCATAGTCACTGAATTTACAGGGGTTTTCTCCTGCATAACATCACTAGTCTGTGAGGAGCTGTGACTCTCTGAGGGATGATTTTCCACCTTGGCTGAATCTCCACGTTTCTCTCTTGTGTGTATTATCTTATGTTTAACAAGGCAAGACATGTAGGCAAAAGCTTTCCCACATTCATTGCAGATATAGGGTCTCTCTCCTGTATGAGTTCTTTGATGAACAATGAGCTTTTGCTTTGTAGTGAAGGCTTTCCCACATTCACTGCATTCAAAGGGTTTCTCTCCTGTGTGAATTCTTTGATGTTTAATGAGACCTGACTTCTGGGAACAGGATTTTCCACATTCATTGCACACAAAAGGAGTCTTTCCTGTGTGAAATCTCTGATGTGCAATGAGGCAAGTCTTCTGGATGAAGCCTTTTCCACATTCATTGCATATGTAAGGTTTCTCGCCTGTGTGAATTCGCTGATGTACAATGAGATTTCCCTTCTGGATGAAGCCTTTCCCACAGTCACTGCATATATATGGTTTCTCTCCGGTATGGGTTTTCTGATGTATATTGAGCCGTGATTTCTTGAGGAAGGCTTTGCCACATTCAGTGCATTCATAAGGTTTCTCTCCTGTATGTGTTCTCTGATGTTCAGTGAGCATGAACTTTCTAGAGAATGCTTTCCCACACATGTTACATCGATGGGGCTTCTCTCCTGTATGAATTATCTGGTGATCAGTGAGCCAAGACTTTTTGATGAAAGCTTTCCCACATTCACCACATACATGAGGCTTCTCTAGTTTTGGGGTTTTCTGATGCTTGATGAATTGGGACTTAGAGCTGATGGGTTTTTGGCTTTCGGGAGATTTAATTTCAGTATGAAATTGTTCATTGTCAGCATGGAGATAGGATTTCCCATCACCAGTAAACTCAGCAGGGATCTTTATTTCATAGTTCCTGCTCTGGGGAAGTAAAGTTAAATCTGCTTTCATACTTTTCCCATGTAAGTCAAACACATCATGATTTTGCCTGAACAGAAAATGAGTTCTGCTCTGATGAACAAAATATTCCAGTGGGTTCTGTTCATGCCATTGTTCTAGTCTCTTCTCCACGCTCTCATTTTGTAAGTGCTCCAGCAGGTGATCATCAACTTTCCAGATTTCTAGAAAAGAGAAGAACAATGAATTTCTTAAAAATACCTTGATGCAGGGCTTCCCTGGTGGCGCAGTGGTTAAGAATCCTCCTGCCAACGCAGGTGACACAGGTTCAATTCCTGGTCCGGGAAGATCCCATATGCCATGGAGCAGCTAAGCCCATGCGCCACAACTACCAAGCCTGCGCTCTGGAGCCTGCGAGCCACAACTACTGAGCCCACGGGCCACAACTGCTGAAGGCTGTGCACCTATATAGCCCATGCTCTGCAGCAAGAGAAGACACTGTAAATGAACAAAAACCAAATATAAGAAGCCCTCACACTGCAATGAAGAGTAGCCCCCGCTAGCCGCAACTAGAGAAAGCCCATGCATGGCAACAAAGACCCAACACAGCCAAAAATAAATAAATTAATTAATAAAAAAAAAAAACCTTGATGTGAGGAGTCTTTTTAGTGATGTTCCTATTATATAAGTGTAAATAAAATTCCATGTTTAATGTTCCCTGCACATTGGAACAAACAATACAAACCAACCAAAAGGTAAAAGTAGTTTGTGTAAAACACAGGGTTGGATAATTCAAAATGAATAAATATAGATTTGAATATTTTCTAAATACTAGCCTTGCAAAACATGGAGAGGCTGTAAAATACAAGGAATTTCCTGTGAGCAGGAGACCACAGGTTGCAGGGCCACCTCATCCAAACTGGGGAGGGATGGACTCATTCATTCCACAGATCCTTACTGATCACCTCTGTGTACCAGGAACAGTGCTAGTGTTGGGGACTCGCAAACATACTCCTCATGTTCACGGAGCCTATACTATAGGTGGGTAAAACCACTTTACAGGGCAGAGATAGACACAAGGAAAACAGCTTCAGGTTGGAAAAGCTGGTGGGAAGGAGCAATGGAGAGGGAGAGAGGTGGAGGAAACCAGGGCTCATTTTGGAGGAAGACAGGCCTCCCAATGGATCCACTGTTGTGGTCTCCATGAGGGGAATGAAGAAAATGACACAGCGCAGAACTCCAAGCACATCTAACTTACAATCTCCAAAACAAAACTGGTTTCCCAGGCTAGGTCTCCTCCACCTGTCACCTCCGGAACAGTCACTGCCAACTCCACTCTTCTTCACCACGACAAAACTCCTCAGCATTTGTTTCTCTCGCTCACACACAATATCCAGCAAAACGATCAATCCTGCCTGCCCTCCTTTAAGATACACCCAGAATGGGACCGGCACCCACTCCTTCCACCCTCACGAAGCCAATCACTCTCTCTCACACCACAGCTGTAGCCTCCTCCCTGGCTTTCCTGTCCCTCCCCTGCCAGTGCCTGTCTATTTTCTACACATTAGCCAAACGGAACCTTTTAGCACCAATTATATCACAGCAAGCCTCCTCTACTCAAAACTCCCTAATCTTTTCTCATCTCATTATGAATAAAGTCAAGGTCTTGACATAGACAACAAACTATGGTTACCAAAGGGGGAAGGTGGGGGGAAGGGATAAATTAGGAATTTGGGAGTAACATATACACACTACGACATATAAAATAGATAAACAACAAGGACCTACTGTACAGCACAGGGAATGATAGTCAATATTTTGTAATAACCTATAAAGGAAAAGAATCTGAATAAGAATATAGATAGATCGACAGATAGCTGAACTGCTTTGCTGTACACCTGAAATTAACACAACATTGTAAATCAACTATACTCCAATAAAAAATAAATTAATTTGTTAAAAAATCAAGGTCTTGATGTATCCTTGAAAGGCCCTTACGTGACCTGCTCCCTAACCTCCAGCCTCTACCCCACTGACCCTATGTCTCCAGTCATGCTCTCTATGTTCCATCCAAACAGGCTTCCGAAAGTTCTTCAGACATGCTCTTGCTTCAAGCCTTTGAATTTTCCAGGTTTATTTTGGAACACTCCTCACCCAGGGAACCTACTTGCATCCCTCATCGACCTGCTCAACTCACCTTAACAAACAAGATTTTAGGGAGGGATGGATTGGGAGTCTGGGATTAGCAGATGCAAACTATTACATATAGAATGGATAAACCACAAGGTCCTACCATATAGCACAGGGAACTATATTCAATATCCTGTGATACGGACTTCCCTGATGGCGCAGTGGTTAAGAATCCGCCTGCCAATGCAGGGGACACGGGTTTGAGCCCTGGTCCGGGAAGACCCCCACATGCCACGGAGCAACTAAGCCTGTAAGCCACAACTACTGAGCCTGCGCTCTAGAGCTCGTGAGCCACAACTACTGAAGTCTGCGCGCCTAGAGCCCGAGCTCCTCAACAAAAGATGCCACTGCAATGAGAAGCCTGCGCACTGCAATGAAGAGTAGCCCCTGTTCACTGCAATAGAGAAAGCCCGCGTACAGCAACCAAGACCCAACACAGCCAAAAATTAAAATTAAAATTAAAAAATTAAATAAATTAATTAAAAAAAGAAATTAATACAAATCAACCACACTTAAATTAAAAAAAAAATCAAGACTTCTTATTCCTAAAGCACAGGGCCAACTCCAAGCACTCATGATGTAGTCATGCTGCTTTACATCCCTGAAAGTAATTTTGACCCCAAAACCTTACCATCAACCTTCATCCATTTTTTCCACTCAGCCCATATTTATTTAAATGTCAACTCTCATTTGCCCTCTATAAGCAGCATATCCAGAATCCAACCAACACTCACCCCTCCACCCATGCTGCAGTCAACCATTCTCCCTGTCACCATGTTTTTTGCAATAGCCTCCTACAAGGCTTTCCTGCTTGCCCCCTGCCCGCTATGGTCTGCTTTCTACACAGAAGCCAAAGGGATTCCTTGAAAAATGTAAATTATTTCATGTCATTCCAGTACTCAAGAACTCCTCGTGTTTTCTCTTCTTATTAGTAGTAAAATCTCGATTCCTTGAAATTGAGTACATGACCAACCTTATCCACCACCCCCCGCCCCTGCCCGCCCCCACTGCTACTGCCTCTTCAGCTTATTCCCATCACGTTCCTGAAAGCACACTCTGCTCTGTCCACACGGGCTCCTTAATGTCTCTTAAACTTATTCATGGTGTGGCCTTTTAAGTTTGCTAGCCGCTCTACTTGGAAAACTCCTAACCCGGCAGCCTACTAATTTCCCGCATTTCTTGGCTCAGAGGCACCTTACCTGAGAGGTGTTCCCTGCCTAAAAGAGGAGCCCCAGCATCTACTTTTCCATAATGCTGACTAAAGTTTAATCACAGCACTTTTCACCCCCCTAGGTATATTATTTAATTGTTTATTGTTATCAATTCCTTAACTCCTTTCTCATAGACTAAAAACTCGTGATCATTTGTATACTTTTTTCCACTGTTCTTACCTTCCAGCATGCACTAGCCTATCAGAAAATACAGAGGAATGAAAAAAAAAAAGAAAAAAGATTTTGAAAAATAGAGGAATGAGTCAAAGAAGCAATTACATGTATGGAACACATTGGGGAGAATTCAGGAAAGAAGATAGAAATCTATCTCTTTCTGAGCAAGATGGTATCATATCATGGAGATCATGGAAAGAAGAATTTTAACTGCCAGGTAATGTGGTTAGCGGAGACTAAATGTCATCAGGATCCAGTGGGAAGAAAAATGAAAATTTTAGGGAAATGAAGACAACAGTAATGTCTACAGTCAACGAGAAGAAAGTTCAAAATCAGTAAATACACAAAGGAATTAATAATTCAAGGTAGGCAAGAGTTATGATTGTGTTGAGGTTGGAACTGAGAACACAGGATGTTAAAATAACATTTCTAGTTAAAAATTCATCATGAACAGCAGACCCCTTAACAGAAGAGAGCTCTGCTGGTGGGGAACATGTGAGGTAATGCCTGAATGGCCAGGATGGAGGATGCACAGGAATAAGGGAGAACATAAACCTCTAGGGTTTCCTGGGAGGGAAGATTGTCTTGCAGTTACTGGAAACTCAGGAGAGCTGCCATTGAGATGAGTAAATTATATAGAAGCCAAGTCTGTGGTGGAGCACACTGGGGACAGATCAATTTGGGAGTCTTCTCCAGGGAACCGAAGGAGATTATTAGCTTGTTAGAATGAAGAAAACTTGGAAGGTTAGGAGATCATTGAGTAAAATGGAAAACAAAACCTTTGGAAAACCTCAGAGCAGGGACAAGGCACAGTGAAGACCAGTTTACTTTGGGGCTCGGCATCCTAGATAGGGTGGATGTGAGGAAGGAAATCAACATTACCAGTGGGGCAGAAAGGTGCAGTAACCAGAAGACACTGAAGAATTCAAAGTTTTCTCTTTGGAGAGAGGCCTTGGAAGGTGGAATTTCATAGAAAAGGAGGTGGAAGTGTATGAAGAAGAAGGAAAAGATATGAGAATCCGTGGACTTCCCTGGTGGTGCATGGGTTAAGAATCCGCCTGCCAATGCAGGGAACACGGGTTCGAGCCCCAGTCCGAGAAGATCTCACATGCCACAGAGCAACTAAGACCGTGCACCACAACTACTGAGCCTGTGCTCTAGAGCCCGCGAACCACAACTACTGAGTCTGTGAGCCACAACTACTGAAGCCCACGCGCCTAGAGTCCATGCTCCGCAACGAGAAGCCACTGAAATGAGAAGCACATGCACTGCAATGAAGAGTAACCCCCACTCGCCACAACTAGAGAAACCCTGCATGCAGCAACGAAGATCCAGTGCAGCCAAAAAATAAATAAATTTATTTAAAAAAAAAAAAGATATGAGAACCCTAGGAAAAAGAAAACTATGCAAACAAAAATCAAGATGGGGGTAAAATAAAGAAGAAACAAATCCCAGAAAAGATAGAATCTTCCCTAAGAAGGGATACATTTTTCTCTGAACTCCTACAAAGAAAAAGAGGTCTGGCACCGGGATTTCCACGGCCTGTCACCTTGCTGGTCTCTCACTCACCTGAACGGGTCTGACAGTGGATTTCATCTTCCATCATCCATGGTTCTCCTTGACCCAACTTGGACAGTATATTTGGTTTGCTGGCTTGAAAACCTATTCATGGAAAATGATAAAAGATTTAGACCCAGCGAATGGCGCATGGCGTCCGTGAAAACCGCAGAATCCTACCTCTGAGGACAATACGGTTTTCACATTTTGAAGGAAAAACACACCCCTCTGTGAGTCTCCTCTCCTGTCAATCCTTCTTCACATCTGACACCAGATATGTGGGTTTTCCACACATCAAGGAATTCTGCAACACCAACTGACACTGACAGGGTGTCCTCCGATTTAATTCAATTCTGACACGATCTACCTGGTGATAGGGTCAGATAATACAGGTTAGGGGTACACTCCCATAAGACTTCGGCTCCGCTCCTGCATTTCTGGCACCAACTGTAGATTCAGGCTGTTTCCTGGGCTTCTGATCAACCATGAATAGATCAGAGGTTCCCATGACTCCCTTTCTCAGGTTCAATTAATTCACTAGAGCAGCAGACAGAACTCAAGAAGACAGTTTACTTACTAGGTCACCAGTTTATTATAAAAGGATACACAGGGAGCTCAGCTCGGCGCTCTGTGATGACCTATATGTGGTGGGGGAGAGGGGGAGGGAGGTCCAAGAGAGAGGGGATATATGTATACATATAGCTGATTCACTTCATTGTACAGCAGAAACTAACACAACATTGTAAAGCAATTCTACTCCAATAAATAAATAAATAAATAAAACTTAAAAATAAATCAATAAAAAAATAAAAGGATACAACTCAGGAACAGCCAGATGGAAGAGAATACAGTACAAGGCATGTGGGAAAGGCCACAGAGCTTCCATGCTCTCTCTGGGGGCACCATTCCCCTGGCACCGCCAAGTGGCCACCAATCTGAAGGCTCTCCGAGCCTGTCCCTGTGGAGTTTCATGGAGGCTTCACTATATAGCCATGATGGATTAAATCATGAGGCTTTGAAATATTTCCAGACATTGTCAAATGTCCCCTGGGAACCAAATTGGCCCCAGTTGAGAACCACTGACCTAATGGGGGAGAGAGGTGGAAAATGGTAAATGCACAGAGAAGATGGGTGTGACAAGAGACACTCACAGTTGCTGCTGAATTTTTAATTATAAATGACCGAATGTTTAGTAGAAACTCTATATGTTGTAGCAGATATGGAAATTATTCATTATTGTAGTTAAAATGGTACAAGCTGTGGTCATTGTGTTAATCATTTTTTAAAGCATTGTTGTTTGCAGTATGCATATACAGGTATGCAGAGAAGAATCAAACTCCTCTGCCCAAGGACTTATTAAACTATGCTCTAATTGTCAAAAAAACAAAAAACAAAAAAACATCGGGCTTTGGTGATTATGATTTAATCTCCAGCCCCTTTGTTCTCCCCAGAGGTGGGGTGAAGGTGGGGCTGAAAGTTGCAAACCTCTAAATCATGGGTGGTGAGTTCAGCGACCAGCCCCCAATCTTAGGTTATCGAGTGGCCTTCCCCAAATCACCTCATTAACATAAACTCACATGCCGTGGTAAGGGTCCCTTATATTAATAACAAAAGACACCCATTTCTCCTTTACCCTCTTATAACTTAGGAAATTCCATGGATTTTAGGAGCTCTGTGCCAGAATTGGGGATGAAGACCAAATATATATATTTCTTAATATAAATCACAGCATTATACACAGCTACAAAATAAAGGCGTTTCTCTCAAGAGAAAGGAGAATATACCCACTTCTCTTGGGCCAGAGACAGGACTGAGAATCTACTGCTTCAGAGAATCACAGACAATCCAAAGCTTTCAGAAACTGAGAAAGGAAACCCCACTGACTGGGGACCCTCTCAGGGACCCAGGGGAGCCGTCCTCACCCACGGACAGCAGGTTGCTGTAGTTCTCCAGCATCACATCCCGATACAGGTCCCTCTGAGGAGGGGCCAGGAGCTGCCACTCCTCCCACGTGAAGTCCACTGCCACATCCTCAAATGTCAGGGTTTCCTGTAATAACAGTGGTGTTTAATGAACTGATCTCTTTTTGATGATATGGAAGAAATGTTAAAGTTTGCCTTCTCATTTCCACTTTATAGGCTAGATCTGTATATCTAGACACATGGAAGAAGCAAAAGCCTAATAAAATACTAGGATTCAACTAACTGTAACTGTGTAGTCAGTCATCCATCCATTTATCATTAGCCATTTCTTTTTTTTTTTTTTTTTTGGCCACGTCACGTGGCTTGCGGGATCTTAGTTCCCCAACCAGGGATCGAACCTGTGCTCTCTACAGTAGAAGCACAGAGTCTTAACCACTGGACCTCCAGTGAAGTCCCTCATAGACGTTCCTATAATACGTAGAAGTTAAGTCTTCTTGTTAACCGAGAAAACACCACATTCATACATATATATATGTATATATATGTATGGGACAAACATATATGGCAGTGGAATCGGGATGACTGTGTCTTTAGAGCCAGTCAATCAGAATCTTCTGGAAAGCGACTCAAAATGCCAGAAACTAAATGTTTAATAAGCGTGTTTAAAGTGTACGAAGAAGAAACTTATTTTTTGATATGTGTACTTTGTTATGATTTCAGCCTTTAAATATATTCTTAAGTCAGTTGTGTAATGAACAAAAATAAATGCAATATATTGATTTTGCTAGGAAATAAATTGCCAGGAATTCCCTGGCAGTCCAGTAGTTCGGACTCCACACTTCCACTGCAGGGGTTACCAGTTCCAACCCTGGTCAGGGAACTAAGATCTGCAAGCCATGTAGTGCGGGGAAAAAAAAAGAAAGAAAAGAAAAGAAAACGGTAGATTAAGAATTCGGATTTGGGGACTTCCCTGGTGGCAGTGGTTAAGAATCTGCCTGTCTATGCAGGGAACACAGGTTCGAGCCCTGGTCCGGGAAGATCCGGACACAGCTAAGCCTGTGTGCCACAACTACTGAGCCTGCACTCTAGAGCCCGCTAGCCACAACTACTGAGCCTGCGTGCCACAACTACTGCAGCCCGTGCACCTAGAGCCCGTGCTCCGCAACAGAGAAGCCACCGCAATGAGAAGCCCGCGTGCAGCAACGAAGACCCAACGCAGCCAAAAATAAATACATCAATCAATCAATCAATTAATTAAAAAGAAAGAATTCGGATTCGAACATGGAAATCAAGAGTCAGACATACTGCAAAGCCTGAGAAAACAGTCCCCATAGAACTGCTCTCGCTTCAGACACCGGCTGCAATTTCTGGGGTCCCCTGGATCACCCTCACTTCAGAAGCAGGTTACAAAGACACCCAGGGTCCCCAAGACACCCTTACATGCAATAATTAGCTAGAATGACTCAGACAACTAACAAACCCATTCGGGAACAAAGAAAAGAATAAAACAAACCAAAAGTCACCTGGGCCTGGATCATTTTTTTCCGTCTCTGAAAACAGCTGGCAACAAGGAGGCTCTGTCGCTGTGCCTTCTGGATCTGCTCTAAATTTCTGTTCTGATACCTGTCTTCAATCAAGCGTGTCCCCAGTAATGCTGACACCAAATCCTGTAACTTCTTCCTCCTTCTGCTGATTCTTTTGCTCCTGGAGAGTCAGGACCTGTGGGTTGAGGAGAAAATTCAAGCTGAGGGTACATTTCCTCTGGGCCCAGATGCTAACGCTGCTCCTGGGCGCTCACCTTAACCCAATGCCCACAGCATTGCTGAGTGTCCCATTTTCACCCCAGATGACTTTATTCCTCTGGCCAAAAAGGCTAAGATTCTGACTGTGGTGGGGGTACTCCTTTATTCCGTGAAGCTGAAGTGGGTGACTGTCAGAGGGAAACGAGATTCATCCCAGCAGCAGCCCTCAGGAGCAGGAGACTCTCAGGCAGGTCAATTATACAAAAGGGACCGTATGGGAGGAGAGGCGCTGGGCACTGCTTTCCTTCAAACCGTGTGCACTCAGGAACCTCCTCAAGCGTTTTTATACACCCTGTGAGTACACACACTTCAGTTTGAAAACCAATGTACTGGGCAAACCAGAAGCATTCTCTTATTAAGCAACGATGATAATACCTTAGGCGGTTTAAGATACATTTTTTAAAAGTACACAATATTGTAAATAAATTGGAAACTGGTAAATAAAGTTGACATGCTTAAGACCCCTGTCAGAGAAGAGTGTAAAAGTACTAATCAACATAAACATTTGACAAAGAAAGCTTCCATGCTGTATGTAATTTCTAGCGTCATGGTGAAAACTGACAATTGTCTCAAAGTACATAATTTCCATCCTAATGGAAGGGGGAAACAGAATGAGAAGAAATTCATTCAAAGCAAGGCAAAAAAAGAGAAGAAGGAATAGAGAAGGAGTGGGGCAAATACAGTACACTTAGATGACTATTTTAGAACAAAACACACTAAGAATTATATTCAGTATAAATAGAACAACGAATCTAGTTAATTACGCAAAACCCAAAAACATGCTACTCTAGGTGACATGTATGAAACATGATGATACGCAAAGCTAGAGAATAAAAGGTTAGAAAAAGATAAACCATGGAAAGAGTAACCACAGACACTCTGGTGTATTCTCAGACAAAATGGACCAGAAAGCCCAAAAATTACTACAGAGAAAGAGAAATGCTTGCTAGTAAGAGGTTCAATTCAGCACATTATAGAAATTTGCAATTTCTATGCACCTAATAATATTGCTTTGAAAAATATACAGCAAAAATGGATCCAAAAAGCCAAGAAGAAATAAATCCAGACTGGACTCAAAAAGCCAAGAAGAAATAAATCCAGACTAACGGTTGAAGACTTAACATGCCTATCCCATTAACTGACAGAACAAATAGGTCACCAACGAACAAAATTTATAAACAAAATTATTTTGAATATAAAAAATATATAAGTAGGAATACTGACAGAAATTTTAACAGACTTAAATAAATGGAATGATGAACTATGAATACGATTCAGAAAACCAAGCATTTTAAAGATGTCATGTCAACCCACGTACCTATGGTCAATTAATCTAGGACAAAGGAGGCAAGAATATATAATGGAGAAAAGACTGTCTTCAATAAGTGGTGCTGGGAAAACTAGATACTACATGTAGAAGAATGAAATTAGAACATTCTCTAACACCAGACACAAAAATGAACTCAAAAAGGATCAAAGACCTAAATGTAAGGTCGGACACTATAAAACTCTTAGAGGAAAATACAGGCAGCACACTCTGTCATAAATTGCAGCAATATCTTTTTGGATCCACCTCTTAGAGTAATGAAAATAAAAACAAAAATAAACAAATGGGACCTAATAAGACTTAAAAGTTTCTGCACAGCAAAGGAAGCCATAAACAAAAAGAAAAGACAATCCACAGTATGGCAGAAAATATTTGCAAACCAAGTGACCAACAAGGGATTAATCTCCAAAATATACAAATAGCTCAGGCAGCTCTATGTCAAACCCCCCCCCCCCGCAAACAACCCAATC